ACTTCTAAATGAAGATGAAATTAGTAAGAGATGCTCGGGGCAGTTAGCACAGACAATGCAATGGGAAAGAAGAATAGCAGGTTACACACTGCATCGGCAATTGGATGCAGACATCAAAAAATGAATAAGAATTAGAAAGAACTTGAAAAAAGCCCAGAATTGTGTTGATTGAGAATGCTGGTGGACAACCTATGCTCCTCCACAATGGGTAACAGGAGTACACGCCTGAGTAAGTGCAACAAAAATTGAAGTGATTCAAAAACTGAATGTTCCCACCCAAGATAAAAACCTTTCTAAACGTTGACACTGATTTTCGACACTTAGTAAAAAACAATCCTTTTCAATCAGCAGAAACTGGGCGATTGGACTCCCGTCAACAAAGTTAGAAAGGACCAGGTGTCACTGTCTAAGAAGCTAAACATCCGAGGCACTATAACAAGATCAACTGGTGGTTCGACCGTTCAGTCTACCTCCAAGAATTTCCGACCAATGAGCAAAGAGCACGGGAATCAGAAACGCTATTCAACCGCCAAACAAAAAGGATCTCAACCTGAACAAACCAGAAAACCTAGGAAAACAATCACTGTTCACGATGATTCTCTCAAAATCATGAACCGTAAAAACACCCTGAACTTCCCCTCAGTTCGCAGGACAAAAATGGCTGAATGCTCTGGGAAGAGTTAAACAAGAAGTTCGAACTTCCCAAAATAGAGCTTTTGACAGTTACACGGTTAACTCGTGGAAAGGAATCTAAGCATCAAAACCACCCGAGACTACTTCGTGTAACACTCACAAATGCTGCCGACGTAGATGATGTCCTACTAGCTAGTTATTTGCTGAATCTGAGGGGAATATAAGAGTACAGCATGACATACCATATTCTGAGCGCAATCTCATCCGGAACATCCCTAAGGAATCTCGCGTGTGAAGTTTTTCCGCGGAAGAAATAACATTGTGCAGGGTGTGTCGTAAAACACGGCCCCTGGTTACACAAACTTTGATATTAGGAAATGGAAATTCATCAAGCAACCCTTGAAGCTTAAAAAGATACCGACTCAATAATAATAATAATAGTTTATTCTCAAATAACAGATTGTTACATGAGGCATGCCGGTTTACAGGCAAGATCAAATTGTTAAAGAAGTTACAATTTTCACTGTTGAAAATTACTCAGCTGGGTTGATATTTCATAAGATATGAATGTAAATGGATTTCTTAAGAAACATATCAATATCACACTTGGCGCACTTTATGGAGGTAGCGTTGCGGCATACAACTGATGGTCGAGAATAGATACATGCGAAGTTGGGGGCTTTTAGAAGTTTCGAACTTATATCCCTCCGGAATATCTGAGGCTTTAATAACGGTGTAGGACGAAGTCACCCGTGCCATATCCGTTTTCGGTGGAGTATCTGCAGGAGGCTGAAAAAGGTGTAAGAAAAAGGAAGGACGAAAAGCAGAGCACACAATATTCATGGAGGAATAGTTAATGTATAACCATTTAGTCTATTTGTCTGTTACTGAAGTATTTATTAGGCAAGAACAAGTGACGAGACTAGTCAAGAAGGACGAAGATTCTAGACCCCGGGTGCTGAAGATAACTTTCCCATCCTCCCATATGGCAGTCGCAACTCTGGAAGCATTTCGTGTCAACAGACGCCAGATGCCAATGTTGTAAACTTAAACCCGACTTTTAATCATGTGACTTATTCACCAATCAGAAAACGACTTATCTAATCTTAGTACAGTGCCAAGCCAATGACGTTCGACCGGTATGAGCAGTCTTGAGTCCTCATTGGTCCTCTGTTCCCCTAGCTCGTCCAATTGAGTCCAGAACACCAACGACAACTTCCACTATGCACCATGAAATAGGTAATAACATTTAAACACAATAAAGCCAAAATGTGGCTGTGAAAGTGGGAGACAGTAATCAATAAACTGAATATAACTAAGCAACAATAAATCATATAATAATAATCTATTGTTTGAAATGAAGCTTGTAGTAAGATGGATACAGATTCGCACAATCTAATTACTGAATAATTAAACTTTAATCTTCACTAGGATATAACAGCCAACTGCAATCCATATGCATCCGGATAGGCCAAATGATGCAAGTATCAAGCACAAAGGCAAGTTAGAGCTAGCTATTCCACATTTGAACCGTCTAGATCATAAAAAGCGTGGAAAGTAAAGGGGCTATTAACTCAGAAAACCCTGTGTAGGTAGGTTACCTATACATTCACACAAGGCTCATACAGATAAACAGGACAGGGAAGCCCCCACGTTTCAAAATGGAGGCATAAACTGCAAATAAATGAACGCCGCGAGTTTACTGAATAAACTAGATGAGCTGCGTGAACCCAGTAATGCCAAAAATGCTCATCTGGTAGGAATATCTGAAACCTGTATATCTTGTCAGTTTACGAAGCAGGAGCAAGAAATACCTGAAATGTCTTTGTTTTGCAATGACAGAAAAACAGGAATATGGGTGGAGTAGCTTTGTACTTGCTATCTTTCCTGGAGGTACATCAAGTGCACAACCAAGAGTTTCTCAATCTTGATAAATCTGTATGATGCTCAGTAAGATTGTCTACCACCTCGAGGTATCTAGTTGAACTCACCTACAAGAAGCTCACCGCTGACATCGAGTACGACAATCGCATACTGGAAGGATTAACCTGCTCTACCCGTCTCGGATTCACTCATATCCTGATTCTAGTGGGCTTCAATGGACCTCAAGTCAATTTCGCGGAACATACGTGCATTGGAGATGAAAACTCTACTGAAGCTCAGTTCTTCGATTTCATTAAAGATTATTCGAAAATGTGAAGTCAGCAACTCGTTGAGGAAACACTCAGACGTCGTCGCGCTTAGACTGGGTATTTACAAACGAAGAATCCCCGATTGACAACCTCACAATCCTGGCTCCCTTAGGGAAAAACGATCACGCTGTCGTAGCATTTAGTTTCGTCAGCAATAGTGAACTAAAACATCCTACCAACAACAGGCTGTGGAATTTCAAACGGTTGGATGTGCCAACTCTACAGGACAATCTACAACAGGTGGATTGGGAATTTCACCCATAACTTGACGTGGATGCTCCGTAAATCTACTTTATAACAACTATGAACTTAAAAAGTTGCATTGTATAAGTACTTAGCACGACCAAAATCTTAACACAGTTTTGCCGATAATGGATCTGGTATGTAACGTGGACGCGATATCACTTTGGAAAATATTTTGAAGACTATACAGTATATGTGAACGAATGGACTGATATTCACTTTTATAGATTATATTTACTTAACAACCCTGCTTGGGATGCACACTGTGAATCAATAAATGTTAAAAACTGTAGATCATGCCTGTAAAAGTGGCGTGTACCTGCCCTTGCAGAAATATATCATTATTATCATTATTATCGGGATATCTTACTGCACACTATCTTGTATGCTACAAGACAGCCTGTCTCTCCAATGGTCCCCAAAATCTACAAGCAACCTACTGTTATCAAGAACCACATTCTTCGTTTGCTAGCAGAAGGCACTGCTGGGCGGAATACGAACGAACTGGTAACCGGAGCGTACAGGCAATACAAACAAATAACAACATATGCACAGAGGCAATAAGAGAAGACAGCCTTTAGTATCAGATAAAGATTGTACATAAATTTGTCTCCAATCTGTAAAGCTTATTCTGTTATGCATCCTCTCTTCGACATACCCAAACTGGACCTCCCCAACTGCTAGATCGGAATGGCCAAAAACGATGGTGACGCTGCTAACCTTCTGGCTAAACTGTACTCTCGGACATTTCAATCGACTCACACGAATTATGTTAATGAGAGCTTCATCTGCAACTGCACGGAACTGCAGCACCTTAAAAGACACTTCTGAAGGTCCGGATGTGGTTCATTCTGCTATACTGAGGGAAGCAGCTGAGATGTCCTGTAATTTTGTGTTTAAATACATTCTATTGTCCCCACTTGTATTCTCCTTCACTACACTAGAACATCTTTTCTTGATTTATATAAACAATGTTCCCCGACTGACTATTACATTTTGCTGATGACGTGAAACTCTGGGAAGAGATAAGTAACTGAGAGAATAAACTGGCACTTCAGGAGGATCTGACTCGACTTCAAAGTTAAGCGGATGACAATGAGCGTACCTTTAACACTTCAAAGTTTAAAGTAGTCCATCTGAGACATGTCGCAGACTATAGATACAACTTAAGCAACTCCTCTCTAGAGGTATACCAAGCTAAAAATGATCTAGGAGTGTTGGTAACCTACGATTTGAAGTCTTACCCTAACTGCGATAAAAGTGCCTTCCGAGTAAACCGTGCACTGGTAACGTTGAAGCTCATTTTCGGCCAGTTCGATAGCAGAACACCCCACTTGATCATCAGCAGCTTTATTAGTCCCAATTTAGAGTACGGAAACATGGTATTCCCTCAATCACTCCAAAAGGATAAGGACACTCGTATCCAACGTATCCAACGGTGAGCCGCGAAATCAGTTCGGGGGCTCAAATTCAAGCCGTAAGAAGAGGGCCTCCAATCACTGAACCTTCACCCACTGGAGTAGAGAAGTCCTGGAGGTGACCTTCTAACGGCTTACGGAATCCTAAATACTCTGGATATCCCCTTAAACACATACCTAAACCTAGTTCCAACACAAACATAAGGGGTAACACCAGAAACTTGAGACAACACAGCAGAACGGACTGTAGACACACCTACTCATTCAGAATTGTCAAATACTGGAATCCGTTATCGGCTGAGATGGTCCAAGCAACTTCCCAGGAGTCCTTTAAGAGAAAACTTGATATATTCTTAAGGACTAAGGATAGTATTTTGCTATGAATTACCAACTTTTTTCTTTTTCCTCTTTTATCGATAATATACCTGGGTTCTTGCCTGCAGCTAATGGTGATCCACTGTTATTGGACATGGAAGCCCGTTAAGCGAAAGCTACTTCTATTCCATCAAAAAACATTTGAACCATTTGAGGTTTGTTTTTATTCATTAAATGTACTGACAAGCGCGCATCACCTCACTCGTATAAGTCGTGGTGTTAGCTGTGCGTACCCTATATATAGTATGTCTATAGTAGATGATGAAGAATTTGCAACCGGAGATTCTGGGGCTTCAAAAACACTACCGAAACAGTGTAGTGCTCTGAGAAAAGGCGGACATGTCGTTATGAAAGATCGTCCTTGTAAAATCGTGGAAATGTCTACGTCAAAGACCGGGAAACATGGCTCTGCTAAAGTGCACTTAGTTGGGATCGATATATTCACTGGTAAGAAATATGAAGAGAATCGCACATCATCACACACTATGGATGTGCCTGTCATCACAAGTAAAGATTACCAACTGGTGGATATCAAAGACGGGTTTTTGTCACTAATGGGCGAAGATTTAAATATGTTCGAAGATATTCCCGTTCCGGACAATGAAGTTGGAAGGGAATTACAGGAAAAATGGAATTCAAGAGGGGAATCGGATAATATGATCGTAAGTTGTTTTGTCGACAATAAAGTTCTTTCATAGGTCACTATATTATCTGCTATGGACGAAAGGCAAGCACTAAAAGTTCGTACTTCTTCAGAAAAGTAAACAGAATCCCATTTGAATAAAACTTCACACGACACTAAGTAATAATTTTTATTATGTTTGAGAAAAAATATATTTCTAGTGTTATATGAATCAGACGTTAGTATCTCGTAGTCAGTAAGGTTTCACAGTCCGTTTGATAGTTTCGGCGTCATACGTAGCACCGACATATTCATCCCACGCCTTCCTACATTTGGCGACAACCCATGTATGTTCCTCATGATCTAGTACATCAATAGTATATCACTAAACCTACCTGCATTTCGAAGAAAACATCCATTATAATCTGTAACTACTCCCGTCAACGGATTGTAGAAACCATCTCCAGTATCGTAGCATCCGTCTGGTATTTGTGTCCTTGGTTCTTTGTCCACTATTTGTGACCTTCCTGCAAAGTAAAGAAATATGTTGATGCTTGCTACATGAATAACTGCTAAACACTCGCGGCTCTTCTACTTACATCTGGTTTCTGAGATTATTACCATCTACTATATAGTATCCTCCCCTACCCAGTTCGTTAGTGACCTGAATAATATATAAGTTTAATAGGTTGAGATGCCTATGATCACATCAGTAAATTTGATACCTACTTATTACAACAGTCGATAGATTAGTGATTTTTTGGATGGCGTTAATCTTGGCAGGACATAGGGCCATTAGTTATCCTTGTTACTAGTCTGTTCGAAAAGTTAGATCTGAAAAGTGTTTTAGTGTTGAAATTTTTGGAACCAAGTAATTTTGCGAAACAACTGTCTGGGCACCCGGGCAGTATCTCAGCCTTCACGCATATCAATGATGTCTGCCACTGGCCTCTTTGTTATTGTGTGGCGCAAATGTAATTAGTGCTATGATAAACATTGTGTGTAATAAGACGACGTTTGTCAGAACTATGTGATATGTAAGGGCTAATATATCACATAGTTCTAATAATCTTCGTCTTACTACACTATCGATATTTATCAAAGGGACTAATTACTAAGATAAACACCTTGTAACTCATCAATAATTAACGAAGAGTAGATTTCATCGGCGATAGCGGCAGTAAACTGAAATATACCGTCTGGCTAATTCAAGCCCAATTTTGTAGATCTGGTCTGTCTATCATAGCTGGCTGTCGATTGTACATGGCGGGTATTCCATAACTGGTTTTATGTTCTTTACAGGGCTCGCCAATTAATAAGTACTCGGACGACTAGTGAAACTCCTGGGTATAGTAATGTATTACGTCGTTAAGATTCATTACAATGTAAAACGGCGTATTCTGATTTTGGAGCTAAGTGAACAAACGCTACTTCAGTCGGCTGGGGTTTTAGGGTTGCTTAAAATGCTTCCCGTGTACTACTAGATTGTCATCAGAATCACTTTTTCTCGAAAAACTTGGGGAAATTCCCCGAGCTTACCTCTGGTACAGTAAGTGAAGGGATTTGGTAGTCGAAATTAAAGTCGTCCAACATAACACTATTTTAAAATAGTGAATGGAATAATAATTGGAATTATGATGTGCTGAGCTGAGGCTTCGTTTACTTGGGATGCTCTAACGGGTGAGTCAGTTTTGCGGTTATTTATAAGCCTCTTAAAAAAACCCAACTCATTTGTCAGCAATCTACTCTGTTTTTGAGAAATCGCTCAGCAGCATTATTTCCTGTCTCGCAAACTAATCAGCGTTAATGTATTGAGCTCTCAAACTTACTTCTGGTTTCTTCCGGGTGGACCTCATGCATAGGAATTTTTGGCGTCCCTATTATTTTATGTCGCACCTCAGGCCTTGCGTGAAACCCCATGATCTGGTGTCTAGTGCTCGCTGTTTCCATGAGACCCCTACACATTGTTTTGAATTGTTTATTCCACTATTCACTAGGCTGTACCATTAAAGCCCACTTTTCGAGTATCTAGAAAGCTTCGGGATGTATTGTGCTCGGAAGCAGGACGTGCATTTCTTGACCAAATTAGAACAATCTGTCATGTTTTATTCAGGTAGTTAACTGTAAGAGAACTATGTATCAAAATAAATGGTGTTGCGTGGCTGTAATCTATGCATTCAATTGCGCTTATTACTTCAAGCCTAATAGATAAGTTCTACAGAAGTTTTAGAGATTCAAGTCCTCAATTTAATTTCTCGACTGAGCGGTCAGATGTCAATAATAGGTTGTTGCAATTAGATTTTACCCAAGTGAATGTTTATCTTAGCGAACTACAACCTTAAAACATTGGGCTGCATGTCGTATAATTGATCTACGTCGGTTGATTTAGGGCGTTAGCATAATAATTCATAGCTTGAAAGTGAGTACACGATTCTGCACTAATGCTGCATCGCATCATCTACCCCTAAACATCACAGCGACTACTGGGTTTAAGGCGAAATGAAGTTAAGGGTGCACTTTGGTGGTCTGATACGTTTCAGTGTCAACCGATTTTTAGAACCTACGAAAGACAGCCGCTTTTAAAGGATGCTTGCGGCGTTAACACACCACAAGGATCGAAAACAACCAATGTGATTGATGAACGTTTCTACGCAATGACTGGGGGAAACAATGTGCAGTCAAAGCAAGGGAATCGAAACTGTTGTGATCGCTAGTAACAAACTGTCGCTCATATTCGTCGAGAGAGCTAGGCTTGGAAAGTGAGACTGCCAAGATAAAGAACAAAGCTAGCTTATCCAGGCCATGACTAAAATAATCGGAGAGCCTGTAGAATCAGTGCGAAGTGCCCCCAATTACTCTGTGGAGCCTTGTTTGCTTCAAAATCAAGAGATTCTAAATATTTTTAACAAAGAGGGTTCAATATTATCAGTGCGAGGCAATCGGACATTATTCCGTTTGACGTATATTGGTCCGGTTTCATGGGAAAAACAAGTACTAATGAGTAGAGAATATAGCGTGACCAATGGAGATATAAGAACCTTAGTTTTTCTAGCCATCCAGCTGTAGCTTCACGTCACTGAGTGTTCTGTATCTGGGTTCTTAGGTCACAACTAACGTCAAATAGTCATCGTCCATTATATTAAAAGGTGTTAATCATGTCCGTCCGATCCTGTCCACAATTTGATGTGGTCATACTATACATTCCTACATGTAACATGCTTTTCCGTCTTACTTCGGGGTTGTTTTTTCACGTGGGCTTTTTATGGATTAAAGTTGCCATCACTTCACAAATACAGAATGTTGCTTCACCTTTTACGAGGCGGCATTACTTAATCTAATTATTATTATGAATGTAAGTAGTTAGGGACGTCGACCGTCTCACTAATCTTACATATCACTTACATTAGAACTAAATGAGTAGCGATAAGTTTACACCTTAAGTATTGGGTGAAAGGTGTTAATCGCCCTCTAAGTTCTTGATATTACATCGACCGATGGGTTAACATCGTGTGTTGTGCTTCCCTGACTTCACTAACTGGGGACGCAATTGTCTGTCTTCTTTTCAACTGCCTGTATCAGCTTGTATTATACACTGTATTTGACTAGATTCCTATTCATCATTGAATACAGTGGCACACCATAACCTGTTTAAATTTTAGTTTTCACGGATTTTACATTTAAAGTGACTTTGTGTAAATGCTTAGAAGTTATCAACCTCTTTGAAATACAAAGCATATACATCAGTATTTCTAAATCGAAATTAATGGAGTAGATTAGGTTTCCTTGAACACAATGTCAGTCACTGACTAAACTGATAACATATTTTTGTGATACCCCAATTAGTAAAAAATTGTATTTCTGACGTTTCGTGAAGTAATGCTAGCTACTTCAGAGTAGATAACCGGAACAAAATTAACACAAGTTTAAAAAAGATGTTTCCTTTGAGACATATCACGAAAAATATATTTACCATTAGATTTCTACCCAATGATGAATTTATTCTAAACTATAAAGTCCAACCTTGGTGTTGATATCTACAAGTTAGTTAAACTGCTTATACATATCACGCAAGTAATTTGGGAAATGCCACGCCTAGATAAATCAAAATCCTGGTTTTAGGAATATATAAGATTTTGAGTCAGCACACAGAAACGCCGCACTTTAGTCCTTTTTATCGCAATAAGGGTTCAATCAAGAATTTCTGCTGTGTTTTATTACTCAGTCGTAATTAAACCTACCAAGAAAGCTCTTATGAGACCTACAAACTCAGTCTTTCACTTACCTATAAAAACGATGCTTACTAAACAGATAACACATAAAACTTCAACCGATCCAGAGTAAGTCTGAATCGCAATATACATCAAAGTTATTAATTTGGGACCATAATACGTTTAGTCCTTATTTAGCCAAGATGATGACTTTTTAAAATGTTGGTGAATCTTATTATTTGTCACTTGGAGCTGATAACTGTTTTACGCTTGAGGGAGTTGTGATTGTACCCTAGAAAATCTCAAATAGTCAATTTTATATGGATAAATATGTTAGCGTTGGTTTAAATACAGATAATTTAGTATCATAAGTGACATGTTCAACCGTGAGGACGAAAGGTCATAATAGCATCTGTTGTTGTAAGTTTCTTGTACAGAATTCTTAGCTCCTACAAATCAGGAGAATCTTTCCATTTGGATAGTAAATCTTCAGTAGTTTTAATTAGAAATTACTGGAATTTAGCGTTTACACCAACGGGGGTCTACATATCTGTGATCAGAGAATTTACATAGAAATTAAAAAGGATCTGTCAGTGTTATTATTATTGGCTAACGAACGTCACCCTTAAGAGTAGAACTAAAAGCAAGTTATTTGATACAGATTATCATACAGAAGTCACCTTCTATGGTCACATAGTATACTGCTTTATAGGAATAATGACATTGAGTTAAACGGTCTGAAACTTGGAACGATAAGACATTTCTTGTCTGACAAGTGTAAAAGTCCATCAGGTGGTTTCAGAAATGATTCTTAGGGGAGATCCGTTCTCAGAGAGCTCTTGTTAAACAGGTAACGGGAAAACTCATCGCTTTTTGTATGTGCATGGGTCATTCCCTAGTTTCTTTACGAAGTATAGCCTTTTCACGTTAGAAGACAAATAAAAAGACACTGCTAAACTACATGTGAACAAAATATACTTATTAGGACTGGCTTTTCTGACTTTATAGAGCTGTTTTGTCACACATTTCAGTCCAACATTTACCTAGTTTCCTTCATTATTATTTAAAAAAATTACTTGGATGAATTCTCTCGATCATCGCATTTCATTTACTTAAATGCTTGGCACAATTGTCTGGTTAATACGTATTGAACATAGTTAAATAGAAAAATATGTAGGGTTGATTACTGAGATAGATATCATTTGATCCTATTGATTCGTTTATTAAGACATTTTATGTTCACCAGTGCTTGTTCTGGTGATTTTCGCTGCTTAAATTTGACCGATCACGCCCCACTAAACCAATCCGAATGATCCTGCTTTAAACATCACGACTAATTGTCTTAACATATTGACCCAAATTAGGTTGAAGCTGATCTTCCTATTAGAATACGATCATCTGATGCCTTTGTACCTTCTTGATTTCTTTAACAAATCAGATAGAGTTGGTCATAGCACTCTAAGCTGGGAACAACCTTACGGATACTAGCGAAGGTATGATGAAGTGTCTTCTAGATTACTTCAGTGGGAGGTTGTAAGTCACTAGAGCTCGCTCTAATTTGTTTGATTACTTTGGAATGACAAGTGGAGTGCGATGAGCTCAATCCTTAGACTACCCCTCTTCTTATTGTCTAATAAAGGCGTATGATGTACCCTATATCATAAAACTCTGTAATGTGCAGATGATCTCAAGATTTGGAGGGGTATTTCGACGTTTAAAGAAGACTTACATAATATATACGACTGAACCAACAGGGACTTTCCTCTTCATACCAGTAAATAAAAAGCGCTAGTGGTGATATATCCACCTCTCGATTTCTGGTTGATACTACTATCACACTACCACAGAAAATGACCTGGTGATGATTCTATATGGTATTGTAGGTATCGACTGAAGAACATATTGAACTAAATACAACTCATTGTCAACCAGTATCAAAGTCACAATTTTCAATACAAACGTCAAGGCAGTCTTACTGTATGGAGCTGAAACGTAAAGAACTACCACAACCATCGTCAAGAAGATACAAGCATTTATATACAGTTTTCTTTGCAAAATACTCGACATTCACTGGCCGGATATCATCAGCAACAGCCCCCTGTGGGAGAGAACAAATCAGCTTCCAGCTGAAGAGGAAATTAGCAAAACCATTGAAAGTGGACCGGACGTACATTGAGGAAATCACCAAACTGAATCATGGGGCAAGCCCTGACTTGGAATCCGGAAGAAAAGCGGAGAAGAGGAAGGCCAAAGAACATATTACGCCAGAAGATAGAAGCAGATATGAAAAGGATAAATAGCAACTGGAAAGGATTGCCCAAGACAGGGTTGGATAGAGAATTGCTGACATGCGGTCTATGCCTCTCCACGAGGGGAAACTGTCGTAAGTAATAATTAAGTGTTGTAGGTGTATTTGTCCGTTTCCATTCTAAAATCGATACAGTATACTCTGATATTAGGTTTCCATAACTTTAAGTATCATGACTCTGGAATTACTGGGAACCGCTTTAAGTGTTTATTTAAGAACTCATTTGTAAGTAACGAGATGATGTCTCGTTACCTGAAAAAAAGGATATCACAGCCTTGAAACATGTCCAAAGAAGAACAATGAAAATGATAGAACAGAAAATATACCTTACTGAACTCACTTGAAGACATGTAATTTGCAACCAATACAGTGTTTAAGGATTAGAAGGGACATGGCCAAAATATATAATATCGTCCATGGCCTTTTTTGCCTCAACAGATCACTGATAAGTTTAAAAAGTAAGGGGCATCTACAAAGGATGGATCACGGAAGAGATTGTACAAAAATCTGTCCAAACATTTTCGTTATTAGAATCACAGTGGTGAAACTCCATGCAGTAAGTGGTAGTGATGGCATCTTCTAACAAGTCTTTTCGAAGGCCTGACGTTTACTTTGGTTCCATAAGCACTGAAGCATACTTCTCTAGGTGTTACTCTTCGATCAAAGCCATTATTAATTGCTTCGCCGTTCCGATTTAGATGAAACATAACACGTACCATAGCTTTTCAGGTCCAATACTTCTATCTACAGCCCACATGCAAATCTCAAAACCGCTTCTTCTGTAAAACAAAGCTGGAAGTCTGAGTTATCGAGAGGTGCCGATTCTGTAATAGTAATAACAGCTTCATTTCTTTTCTTAGGGAAAGGGATGCTAAGGAAACCCGGAAGCTGTTGAAGCGTAGGAAACACTTCTGGGACTTATTCTTGTCAACAGTTCAGGCATCATTTAAGTGCGAATATGAAAAAATCCGGAATATATGTAAAAAGACCATAGCTAAATCCCGCATGGCTTACGAACGACAGTTGGCATACGATAGCCGTACCTGTCCGAAGCGACTGTTTTCGTATGTTAAAAGGCGGACGAAACGTAGTGATGGAATCCCCTCATCACTGTTAAGCGAAAATTCAGCTTTATTGGCTGAATCTGATCTAGCGAAAGCGGAGACATTTGCAAACTATTTCAGTGAAGTCTACTCTACGTGTAGTGTTACAACTACTTGTCCCGTTGACAATGAGATACCAGCCATAGGACCTTTGCACGTGACAGAGGATATTGTTCTTCCTTTGATAACTAACCTAAAACCTTGTAAGATACCGGGCCCCGATGGGTTGCACCCACGTTTGCTGTCATCGCTTGCGAACATTATCTCAAGACCGCTCACGATGCTCTTCAACATGTCCCTTTCACAGGCTCAACTACCTAGAGACTGGAAAGACGCCATAGTTAGTCCTATATTTAAGGATGGTCAGAGACGGATCGTATCTAACTACCGGCCTGTTAGCCTGACCAGTATAGTAGTTAAGTTACTTGAAAAATTAATTCGGGCTAAGCTACTAAGCCACATAGATTCGTACAATCTGTTAACTCCCGAGCAACATGGGTTTCGTAACAAGCATTCATGCTTGACTAACTTACTCATTGCGAGAGAGGATTGGACAGCTGCCCTAGACAACGGCCAGTCTGTCGACGTGATATTCATAGATTTTAGCAAAGCGTTTGATAAGGTTTCACACTTAGGTCTTATGCAAAAGCTCTCGAGCTTCGGTATAACAGGTGCTATACAGGAATGGATAGGAAGCTTCTTATGTGACCGCAGACAGAGAGTGAGGGTCAATGGAACTCTATCCGAATGGAAACCGGTCAAAAGTGGTGTACCCCAAGGCACCATCTTAGGCCCTTTACTTTTCCTTCTGTATATTAATGAACTACCCTTATTACTTAAGTTGTCGACATTATTGTTTGCGGATGATGTTAAAATCTGGAGAACAATAAGAAATGAGACTGATCGTTGTTATCTGCAAGCAGATTTAGACGAATTAATTAGCTGGGCTCATGATTGGGGCCTGGAAGTTAATTCCAGGAAGAGCGTGTTCATGCACATCGGGCACGATATTAGTTACCACTATACCATTAATGGTACATCTCTGCCACGCGTTCATGCGCATAAAGACTTAGGAGTAATTATAAGTCACGACTTAAAAACTACTACGCACTGCAATGCGGTTGCTTCCAAAGGCTATCGAGCGCTATGGTCGCTTCGCAGAGCATTTAAATGCTTTGACGAGGATATGTTTCGAATCCCACCTATGTAAGGCCACACTTAGAATACTGTATCCAAGCAGCTAGCCCTTGTCT